TTGTGTGCATATCGGCCAGTGTGGACAATCGGACAACATCTATTTTTCATCGCCCTGGATATTTTTAATACAAAATATTTTTTTTTATGATACAGCATACAAAAATACCTCTACGCAGACGTAGTCGCGGGCAGCAGCTAGTTATTCTATAACATTGTGATTATATAGTTAACTGGACTCGTTTCGTGGTGCCAATTTCCACAGGTTGTATATGATAAGTAATATCATAAAATGTTCACTTGTCCACATTTTTACATACAAGTTTTTATTAATTGTATTATCAACAAATAAGAGTCAGATTTTTGTTATGAATTTGTTTATTATAGTTTATTTTATAGTTTATTAAACCCGAGTCTTAGGAAGCCGTTAGAATCATTAGTACAATGCAGTTTAATTTATATGGCTTTAGTAAACTAGACGACTACTAATTATTCATGTTTAGTGATGATAAGCAAGTTCAGTTTTTTTTTTTTTTTAAACATTGCCCTTACTTTAGGATAACATTATCCTGTGTTCTGAGGACGTTTTACAAACATGAACGTCACGTGGAAAACGCCCAGCTACGAAAAAACTATCTGTGGGTCACACAAATAGTTGTCCCGTGTGGGAATCGAACCCACAAACCCGACGCCGAAGCCAATACCTTGACGACTACGCCACGGAGCCATCAAACATTTAAGTAAATTCCTTCAGTATCCATCAGTAAATTCTTTTCTCTTTAGTCTTGAATTTGCACATCTATTTTACCATCAAGGTAAAATTAATTTACACCTACAAATTTATTCGCGTTAGTCTAGACCAATTTCATTGTCTTCTGCAGTTTCAGTAATCGATTGCCGATGAGTTAACAAGTAATCTAACTTGCAATTCATTATCAGCTCATGCACCATGCCTTGAAGACTGAAGCGCTGCTGATACAATTGACAATGCACTTGTTTTTATTTAACTTAAATAAGTTCACGTGTAGAAACCACAAACTTTACCAGCGTCGCAAACAGTAGCACATGTGTTGTTTAATTAAAATCCCCAGCCTACGCGGATTTTTTGATGCGTATTCAATTGCTGAGAATAATTTTGACGACGTATTATTGCGGAAGACGAACATAAAAAAAGAACTCCGATGCCAGTCGAGGAAGGTGAAAAACCTTAATGCTAGTATATCATAGTGATATAATATAATATATTTAATAAAAGCAATAAATTTTATTTATTTAAACAGCCATTTTATTCATTTATTTATTTTCATTTAATATATGATATAATTTATGAGTATCTCTATATACATAACATTTATTATAATAATTTTGCATCCTATTTTAAGGCGTTCGAAGATGTTTGTATATTCTGAGACACAAAACTTCACTGAGGGTTTAAGCGCAACTAATTAGCCGTCGAATGGCTTTTCAAATAACATTTGTGCTGCCAAAAGGATGGTTAAACTCTCTGAATTTATTAATGATTGGATAGATCAGGTCAAAGAGGTTAACCATCCTTTTGGGAGCCCAATATTTGAAAAGCCATTTGACAGTTGATTAGTTAACTTCTACAATGATCAGTGTTTCAGAAACCGGGCGCAAATGTCTTCGGTTGACCACTAGCTATTGTTAATGAATTTAGGGAGAATAGTTCCATTAGTGGTCTATGGAATAAAAGGAATAAAATATTAAATCTACTTCTGCTTTCACTTATTTCATAAGAATTATAAATATAAATATGCTTTCACTTCTTTAATAATTAATAATGCGTTGGACAGTGCTAGTTTGCGTTAAGTTTGTTTTACAGACCTCTTTATATAAAGATTTAGCTCCGAAATGATCTAGACAGTCACAAGGAGACATCTTTAGGAGGTATTTTTTGCACATAAGTATTACCAAAAAGGGAAATATTGGCACAGGCCACAGGGATTTGAGGGGAAATTTGATTTCCTCCTCGTGGTTATTTGGGGGTAAATTACGACCGCAGGGAATTCACGTAAAAATTTCGCCGGGGGTCTTATCGTAGCGCAAATCTAATAAACATTAGAAGCCCGCTTTAACCACTGACAAGGAAAACTCTGATTGCAAAATAATTTTTTTTTGGTATATTCAAGTATCGTTAACACACCGTAGCTTAATTAAAGCGTTATTAAATTGCTTAATTATTATAAAAAAATTAAAGCAGGAGCTATTATAAAATATATCACATTATAAAAACAATGAAACACGGAAAACGTTACCGACGCATTTTCCGCTATTGCGGTGATAAAAATGAGCTTTTTGTCTATTGTTCATTTAATACACGCATTCGTCCGCGAACTACATTTAAAACCCGTGGGTTCTGGCTAGCCCACCGGTTCTGCGTCAGATGAAGCTTTAATAGTCTTGGGACTGAAAGCAAAAACATCAGTTAATACAAGATAAAAAATACTACATTTAAACTGTACTTCATATTCTCACCTGTTTGGATATCGTCTTTCCGATTCGTCTTCATTTTGCGCGTCGCGTGCGAGACAATATAACGCACACCGCCTAGGGCAACCGAATTGTTACTCACAGTTAACTATGGGTAACGGTTGATGACTCAATGACGTGTTCTTGCTAGGAGCATGACGTACCGCATGACTTAGAACGTATAGCCTTGAGATCAACGATCAATTATTGGTTAGTTTGCTCCTATTTATAATTTATAAATCAATGGCGACCCGCCCCGGCTTTAACAATGTAGATATTGTATTTCTCGACTTTTCCCTACTTTAATATGCACGATGAAGACCGAATTAAAATCCGTTGCGTACTTTATTAGATCTAAGCGAACAAATATCGATATAGACTTTGTTTTATACTATGTAAAGATTAATAGACTTCAGAAACTGGTGATACGTTTGGTGGTTGATAAAATTTACATCAAGACTCAGGTACTTTATGGAACGATGGATAAATAGTAAATGCATAAGATAGATGAAAGCCTTTATACTCAAGCCTTTATATAAGTACACACATATCTGCATGGTACTTAAAACATTAAGAAGAATTAACACTATAGGTTCACTTGACTTAGGCAAGTACTGTACTGTAAAATTTTATCATACGAAAATTTTTTTCGCAAGTCAGTCAAAATATTAAGCTGATCATATGGATCATAGTCTTATTACAAACGAAATTATTATTAATACCGAAAAAACGAAACCAAGCTGAAAAGGCAACTTCCCCATCATGTTTCGGAAAATGACTATAAAATTTATAGAAGTTTTTAGGTTACGTAATAATAATGAGACATGTTGAAGATTTTAGTCATGACTTCGTTTAAAGATCTTAATCGTGACAAGGGTGATATCGTCAAAACTGACACTGGAATGTCATGACTAACTTTGAGGAAACAAATGACTTCAGTCGGTACACGAGAAAGGAACGAAGATGAGTAATGTCAACACTGACGATTGTTTCACTGTAAAGATATCAGGGGCATGAAAAACTGTTATCTAAGTCAATATGAAATAGTCCGTTATTGTACTAGCGCAGACTACGGGAAAAATCGCTTCGAACATCGTCGGTAATAAGTTTCCATTAGTCAGGACCTTCGTTATTAACTAATCAGTTGGCTTTCCAACGATCTTCTTTTTTACGTGTCGATTACAAATCATATTAATATTCATCATAAATATTAATCATGTGAATATATTTAACGATGTCCTATCATGATTCTGATAGTCATTATGGCTTTCTACGAGGAATTAAATGTATTTTTACTCGGAAACTGGTTGAATTTGAAAAACAATTACTTTTATCTAAATAAGTTCAATAATATTATATAAAAAGAATAGTAAATAAAAAGAAATATGAATTCAATTGAAGTTGGTACGTTAATGATAATTTATTAAGACGAAAACGATACACATTTATCACAGTCGATGCAATTCAAACTGTTACATTGAATAAAATCAGAGGGAACAATAACCGATAATAACTTCACGTCTCAAGTAAAGGTCTTGGTTCATTGGCAGGACGATAATTGGCATTGAGCATTGTCGGCTTAAGTCTGGGCGGGTGAGGCCGTTATTCTTAACTGTATGCATGTACTTAAAAATAACAGTTACGGAAAGTCTTCAAGTTGGAGAGTTCTCTGATCTTTTAGATACCACGCTACGGAATATATCCCATGCTTCGTGAGGTATAAACATGAAGTATTGACGCAAAGTATACCTAGACTCTGGGATCTTATTATTGGATGACATAATTTTTGCGCTTCGTGGGAATTAATCGAAAAACAAAATCTGACCCCTACTTAAAATGTAACACGCAGTCTTTGATATTTGCTTTCCTTATATAGTAGAACAAAAATCATATGTCAATACGAGTATTTATATGCGTAAATTCCAACAACATAATTTGTTTTGATATTAACACTCCGTATAGCCGTATACAAAGCGAAGACAGAACACAAAACACAGAGTACAGAGTAAACTCTATAATTGAGAAGTTTTATTAATTAGTAAAGTCGCTGAATAATGAAAAATTTGGCTGTGTTAAATCAAACCTAAGTTATCAGTAAAGAGATAGTCACTGGCCACTATATTTTTTTTACACTGACCTTGGAATAAGATAACCTATCAAAGTTATTGGGCCAATTAAGTTCGCACGTCGACATCCGCTTTTCAAAGAGACTGAAATCATGCGTAGCGAGAAAAGTACAATTTTTTTTGGAAAAGAATATCACGTATTTAATGTTACTGGTTACTTAAACATTCCATTCTCATTGCGTGATTGTTGTTGTCCTTAGTAAATAAAGTGTATCAAAACGCCAGACACAGCATTGGGAAATTAACTTGGAACAATTAAATATTGTAAGGATTGATCCCCTCACCTGACATTAATAAGCCTTCAATTAACATTGATAACAGTTTTTTTTATAATATAACGAATACTACTCTATTAAGGGGCAAAAACCGTAAAGCTATTAAAAAACCGGTTCGATGTCATCGAAACATCGACCAGAAGTAAGAATTAATAATTTAGAATGCATACCTTCAATTTCAACGTTCTCTCCGCTCGATGAGTCGGAAGCGTCATCTTCTATTTTCTTCTCGGTGACTATTGTCACGCTGTTTTCACCGAACTCGTTGCTGTGGGACCGCTTGTCCGTTACTGAATGAAACTGTGGACAAGACATTTTGTTAATAACTGTGGCAATAAGGGCCTTAATTCACTCAGGGTGGTCAGAGTCAGATTGCCGTTGGCTCAGCACGTTGGTAACCAAGTTAGCTGGTGCTGTAGAGAACATTGCTTTTCTCTCTGTAGCCCGTTACCTCAGACATAAGAGTATTATTTCTCTTAGTTTGTATTCACTTTAGATTAAATCTACAATGAGTTGGAATGTTGAAACGCTAATAGATGTTCCTTATTAGTGATAAATCGCAGTGATCAATCGGGCCATTTACTTCACCGACGGGGGTTTTCCAAGAAACAATGGTGTGACGAAACAATCGCGGATTCGCGTTCGACTGGTGTCGTTTTGCGAAATGCTCGACGATTGCACGAAACTCACGAAAACGCAAATGTTTCAATTCGGCGAATGAGTTTTAAAGTAATTTCATCAGTTTATCGGATACTTTGATATATTGAGTGCGATTATTTTTTTAAACCTCGTCATTCGTCGTTTTAAAGTTAATGTCTCATCAAAAAGCACTTTTTCGTATAGATCGTAATTAATTATATAGTTTAGTTGATTGTGAAATGCTGAACTGCTGCGTCAGGTGCTGTACAATCATGCTGAGCCCTAGGCAGAGATATATTGGAATTGCGAGGTTGCCGCTCTCATCCACCGCAAGGAGCCGAAAGGCTTTTTGCTTATTAACACGGCTCTCCTCGCTTCCATGGCTTCTAAGCTGACGAATTGTAGGAGTCCGTTTCCTGTGCAAAAGTACCGCCGAATTCGCGGAGGTATGGAAAAGCGTTCCCTTGAATCTACCGATTTGCAACCTTGTTTAAATACCTTGGGGGTTTGATTCAATGCAAGTCCGACATAACCCGTCCTTGCCCCGATAAGGAGAAGGCTTTTCTCCAAAGTTATAAAAATGGTCGATTGTGAAATATAATAAGAGAGAGACTGAAATTTGGTCCTGTCACTACAGAGATGTTAAAACTAATGCAAATCTTAAGAACTCGACGGGCTTAGTAGTTGGCACCTTAGACGGTTTTGTGTTAATGAATTTTCATAAAGTATTAAGAAGACTGTGTTTTAACTAACTACCATTTTATAGGGATTTCAAGAGTTTTCGAGCACTGTTTGTCTAAGAAAGATCTAGAGCTACTTTATTCCGCTTAACGTCACAATGCAAAAACATCTGTACACAGATACGATATTTAATTACAGCGTTTCTTTTTTGCGACTCTAACAATTGGAATTCAATCTAGCTTCGCTATGAGCGGCTCTGACGTTTTTTGATGCGTAAACTGAATTTTATTTTCGGTTTAACAAAGGCAGTGGTTTATGTTTCGTTGACTTGTTTTATTACAGTGCTTTTACGGTTTTGTTACTATCTATTAATTTCAAAGTAACTCGAATCGGCAGCCAGAAAGTTATTTCGTAGGCTGTGGCCTATGAATCTCTAGAATTACTAGGTCTGTAAGCCACACATCATACCGTAATCATATATTACATTCACCAAAAATTTTAGCTTAGTCTTAGTTCTCATGAAGTTCATTCTTATTATGATGAACTTTAATCTAAGTTACAATGAATCTTATTTTTTTCAATGCAAAAATGTGCCAACAACACGACTCCACTACGAAGTTTTTCCGTGATTTTGTTACATGCACAATTTTTGCATTTACTAATGTAATTTGAAAAAGATAAATGTTTGGTGTTCGTTATAATGTAATTAACGATGTTTGCGATGGGTATACATAAATTAGTACTGTAAGCGATTAAATATGTAAATAGATATCTCGCGTGCGTTCATTGTTTTATTCAATATACCCATATATTCGTATGGATATATGTTTGCCGCTGTATAAAACACTGTGTTTTCAGGGGAAGATTGAAAATGTGCAAGCTGATCACCGATTAGTAAGTGATAAGTAAGAACAAAAAGAACGGCCCATTTTTGCAACAGCAGGAGCTAAAACTAAAAGCGATATAGTAAAAACAAACCTTTGTTTGATTATAAAGGTTGTCATTTCATTAACATAGTACCTTTATCAATATTTTTCTGTCTGATTGCACATCATAAAACGATCAACTCTCAGCTATGAAATGAAACTATGTTTACGGATTTATCGCGTTTATTTGGATTTAATTCCCGACGTTTCAAACCCTTTACAACGTTCATGGTTACGGGACAGGCGTAGGCGTTGGACGTCTGAATGTTATTGTTAATATGGGCTACCGCCAGTTTTTTAATTATTAATTTTTGTGTTGATCTACGCAGGACATGCTAATTTTATCTTGTCTTGCAGTAGTGGTTCGTTTGGGCCTGGACTTAATTTTTTTAATAATAGGTCCCAGGCAGATGGTAACACCCAATCTTCTTTTCTATTGAAATTGTGAAAGTTTTTTTTTAATTTCAATAGCCTCGCAAATCATCCTTGGGAGGAATCCGTGTTCTTTTGCAAGGATCTGTGTTCTATCAAACCTCAAAAGGTTGGGGCGATTGAAAGTGTGCTCACATACGCTCTCAGCTACGAATGAAGAGTTGATGACAAACTAGAATTTAAGTAAATGACTTATTGATCATGTTTGAAACCCTCTAAAAGAAACAATGTGAATAAAAAGGTGGCCGTTTGCCACTGTGAGTTTTCAACATATATCTTGGAGGACCAAGGAATACATAACCCTCATGAAAGAATTCCTGCCTGCGTAGTAGAAAGTAAATATTACAGGGCATATTTTTACACAGTGCTATCTAATCCCAAACTAAGCTAAGCTTGTACTATGCGTACTAGATAACTTATAAACATACTTAAATATACTCTTCTTTTGTAAATAAAAATACATGTTATGTATGCATAAACACGCAGACACTGGAAAAACACTATGTTCATCACACAATATTCCAGTAGTGCGGGTCGAACCCACACCCTCTGGTGAAAGAAATAGGGTCACTTCTACAACAATTTGATCTTCAAAATTTGACCAATACAAAACTAGTATTGGTCAATTTGATTTCTTTTCTACAACAATCTTTCTATTCTTTTTGCGTTTGTAAATATTTGTTCTAATATCATATAAAGGAGTGTAAAACTGAAGACCACATTTATCTTCCTTATAAGGTTTATTCCCCTTTCTTTCTAGTTATCATGTACAAAATTTCACAATTAATCGTGAAATAAGTTTCAAAACTTAAGCAATCGAGTAACTATCGGTCGGAAACACCTTTACGACGGTTACAGACTGTTCTGTAACGTGGCGCATGCTATAAATAAAAGCTAAGTCAGTGATCCAATAAGAGCAGAGCTAGAGAGATAAGATAAGCAAATCATACACGATGATACCCATAGCAAGTAAATTGTTACAACACTAATCAACAACTAAAATCAATTTGTTAAAACTTATTTATTAATATCCTGTTCCTATATATAACGAACGGCCGTTAGTTACATAGGTTCGTAACTTTCATAACGACTTGTAGATTAAAGGAACGCTAGTAACTCACTTTCCGTAGGTAATGCAACGGCTCGTAAGGAAAACGCCTCGTTTTGTTAATATAGGAACCGGGCGTACACGCCTTTACAAGTCGTTTCGAAAGATACGAAGCTATGTAACTAACGGTCGTTCGTTGAATATAGGAACCGGGCATAAGTGTGTAACTGTGGTAGGGCCGCGCAAGAATCTACACATGTTGCACGAATAGGTAGATCTGTCCGGGAAAGTACCACGACCTCTCAGAAGACCAGAAGTGGAATTGTAATACTTTTGCGTTTCGTCTGTTGATGGTGGTAACGCATCTGCACCCGCAAGTTCAGAAATGTCAATTTGCGGTGGTTATCACTTGCTGCCAACCGCCAACTCGTTTGTCACCTTCTCACATAAAAATTCAAATAAGATCAGTTAGGGATAAATTTAGATACGTATAGGTTAGTAGGTGTTCTTAGTTCTAATCTGAAATTTAGTGAAAAGTAAAAATATGAACAATGACGGCTCCTGTACGAGGAAATGGTACCATAATAACAAAAAAAATAGTTTAACAATTATCACGACAGTATAATGTGACATTTGGATGAGGGCATTTTTCAATTGAAAGAAATTATGATAATTAGTAGAAAAACTGCGCAAAAACCTCCATACAAAAAAGGACATCATGAAAACCTCACCTAATAATCCATTCATAAGAATTAAAAAACAGTGAAGTGCGAGTCGGACTCCCCCACGAAGGGTTCCATACCATTATATATAAAACGTCAAAAAATAATGTCTGTTATTTTGGGAGCCCCACTAAAATATTTTTTATTCTGTTTTTTTTTTAGCATATAATAAAGAGATAGTGCGAGTATACAAATACATCATATGTGAAAATATCAACTGTCTAACTATCACGGTTCATGAGATATAGCCTGCTGACAGACGGACAGACGAACAGACGGACAGACGAACAGACGGACGGACGAACAGACAGTGGAGCCTTAGTAATAGGGTCCCGTTATACCATTTGGGTGCGGAACTCTAACAATCTCTCCTTTATTTCTATAACTGTATAGTGAAAATAAAATTAGCAAAGTTTTTTTTGTAAATTTTATTTTCTTCGGTTTACCGCAATGCTTTCATCTGGCTGTTCATAAGCAATTCTGGACATTGAACCGGCTAGCGAGTGCCATCAATCTCGGTTATTTCCTTTTTGTCCCGGAGAAAAGTAATCAGTGTTTTTTTTTGTCCTGTGCGCAATTTCAAAGCGAAATCTCCATGCTGATGTTAACGAACGGAGGCAGCAACGGCTTTTCTCTATTTTTAGGAGTTTTCGAACATGATGAAACTTCACGATCCATAGACAATTAATCTTACTAGTCGTCACCCAGTGGTCGAATTCTACCGTAATAATTATTTTAAATTATAATTATTTTAATTACTTTGTAGTATTATATTAATTAGTTTGAACGATATTAATACATTCTCAATTTAACCTCAGACTTCAATACATAGTATAAAACAAAGTCATCCCG